AATATCACAAACTCATACAACATGACAAACAATCCACGTTTTGTGGATACTCTTAGACATATACTCAGTTACTCATACAACATGACAAACAATCCACTCTTTGATTATTGATGGATATTTCAGTCACACACTCATACAACATGAAAAACAATCCACAGTTAAGGATACTCCTAGACACACGCTCATACAACATGAAAAACAATCCACAGTTAAGGATACTCCTAGACACACGCTCATACAACATGACAAACAATCCACAGTTAAGGATACTACTAAACACACGCTCATACAACATGACAAACAATCCATAAATAAGGATACGTCTAGACAAACACTCATACATCATGACAAACCATACACATTTTATGGATACTCCTTGATACACACTCATACAACATGACACACTATCCACAGTTTTAGGATACTCCTAGACAAACACTCATACACCATGACAAACAATCCATAGTTAAGGATACTTCTAGAAAGAAGTGATTCAAAGTGTGTTTTTAGAAGCAATGATGTGTGTTTCATATAATTATATGGTCATTTTGAGAACGCCTATTTTGTATGCCGGCTCTGGTGCGAAACTGTCTCCCCCGCGATAAGATTCATGAATCATTCACTTCTTGAAATTCCAGAAAGGTTTTACACTTAACAAGACTGTATCTGAATATGAATGGTTAATGATTGCGTTTTCTTTGTGTTATGATGCCTGTATTGATTTACCTTTGTTGCATTAGTGCTAATGCCAATTTTATTTCAAGTTGTGCGATCTGAATGAAGTTTTGTCTTCTTTTCCCCCTTTTTCAATAACGGAAACTGAAACCTTTCCCTTCTTTCCCCCTTTTTAATAAACTTTAAATGAAACCGAAACATCTCTTTTTTCCTCCTTTTATATAAACTTAACATGAAACTGAAACTTTTTTATTCTCTCCTCCTTTTTTATAAGCTTAACATGAAACTGAAACTTCTCTTCGATCCTACTTTATTTTAAAAACTGAAACAACAAACCATCAACTATCGGATAGCTGTTTTAAAAATCAATATATCTGTCATGTTTTACGCCAATATTAATAAGTATGTCCTGAAACTTTACCAGGAAACCTTCAGGAGATGTCCGTGTAACATTGAATTGTAGTGTATTGATTTAATGTTATTTTTATTTCGTCAAGGTCTACTGCCACGAGCCTGACGAGCCACACTACCATCTCAAGCTGTACAAAGGAACTCGTAGATAACTCGTACTGGCGGGAAGGATATTTAGCTTTAACTGCGGTATATATTTATCAATTATAGACTTTTGTTGAGGTGAATATTATACAGTTATGGACTTCAGGTGAGGTCTATCCCTGATTTACGAACCTGTTCTAAACAAAATTCACAGAGGCCGAAGGCCGAGGTGAATATTGTTCAGACCAGGTCTGTAAATCAGGGATAGACCGAAACTTAAGTCCACAATTGTTTTATTATATGACATTTTACAATGAAATAAATATTTTTTATGTCGTAAACACATGGATAGCTTGGACCATTTTGGAATCACAGAGTCAAAGACTTCAAATACAAAATAACATATACACAAAAATTAAATTTCAGATTCAATTCATGTGATATTTAATTTCAAGTAAATATTATTTGCACAATCGACATCATCAATATTAACATAGTTCAGAATTTGATAGGCCTATTTTTGGTAGCGGTCTGCAACACTTTTCTATTTATAGGTCGAGGTTTGTAACACTTTTCTATTCATACAACGAGGTCTGTAACAGATGATTTAATTGCAATTGGCTGTTAATCGATGGCTGGGAAATTACACAGGTCTATTTTTAGTAGGGGTTTGTAACACTTTTTTATTTATAGGTCGATGTCTGTACCACTTTTCTATTCATAGAAGGAGGTCTGTAACATATTTACAGAATCGTCACATGACGTCGCTCCTCCAATCAGTGCTGGGAATTAGCATCAGTCATATAATAAGTGGTTATATGGACCTGAGAAAGTGATATAAACCGAAACGAATTCTAGGTTAATAACACTCTCCCAGGTCCATATATAACCACATATATGTCCTGTATTGTTATATTAGATGCAAAATAATATTTCAATCCTTAAACACGATGAAACGTATGGAAATTGTACGAAGGAAAGTATTGCGTCTTTTGTTCGACAAACAAAATAGTAATTATATTTCTGTTATGAAAGTCGAAGGTCTAACGCTTCAGATATGGACTCCAGCGTAAAATCTTGGCAAATTTGGAAAACAATGATCTCATTCATTTTTTATATACCACCATTGATCAATTCACAGGGTTTATCAAAAGAAATGCTGCAAAACGGTACTTTAAAATGAATTTTATGAACTAATTGAGATATTGAAAATTTTATAATCCAGGATGATATCCATAGTAATAAAGGCGTCACATAAATTGCGATACTAAACATGTGATATCATCATTGAGTCTCACAAATATCAAAAATGGGACATCACTGTGCGCGTGTCTCACACATAATAAACATGTGATGTCATTGTGTCTCGCAGATATTAAACGTGATATCATGATTGTGACAAACAAATATAAAAAATGGGATATCACTGTGCATGCGTCTTACACATATTAAACATGTGATGTTGTTGTGTCTCACAGATATTAAACGGATGATGTCAGTGTGACTCACAAATAGTAAACTTGTGTTATCATCATTGTGACTCGCATATATTAAACATGTGTAATCACCATTGTAACTCTAATATATTAAACATGTGTTATCATCATTGTGACTCACATATATTAAACATGTGTTATCATCATTGTGTCTCACATATATTTAACAGATGATGTCAGTGTGAGTCACAGATATTAAACATGGGTTATTATCATTATGTCTCATAGATATTAAACAGGTGTTATCACCATTGTAACTCACATATATGAAACATGTGTTATCATCATTGTGACTCACATATAGTAAACATGTGTTATCATCATTGTTACTCACAGATATTAAACATATGTTATCGTCTTTGTGACTCACCTATAATTAACATGTGTGATCATCATTGTGACTCACATATATTAAACATGTGCTATCATCATTGTGACTCACAGATATTAAACATGTGTTATCATCATTGTGACTCACAAATATTAAACATGTGTTTTCATCATTGTGTCTCACGGATATTAAACATGTGTGATCATCATTGTGACTCAAAGATATTAAACATGTGCTATCATCATTGCGACTCACAAAAGATCAACAACGTGTTATGTTACAGACATTAGTTGAAGATATAATAAAACGATTTTCAGGCGAGATCCCAGCATCATACCTAGCCCATCTTCATGTTAAAAAACTCATAAACGCACAGGTATCTAATCCGAACCCCCAAAAAAATACCCGAACTAAGGAGACAAGGAAAATAAAGAGGTTTAGAATTGTTTTAAATACACGTAGGATTGATGCCGCTATGTAAAATAACGGCATCACAATGGGTTTGATGTTCATATCTCCTGGGATTAGTACTGTTGAGGGAGAAGGTTTTGTTTGACATGAAGATAATCTGTATTAAACAATGTTTGTGAGTATTCTTTATACAAGCTATAAATCTTAGATAACGACTATAAACATGCACCAGAGCTTTTATTTGATCAACCAGAGATTTATAATTGACCTTTCAGTTGGTGACCTGAAATTTGATTCTTCTTCTTCTTCCAGTTAAAGTGCAAGCATTTGAAGGTATTCCCGCACTGGATTGGCTGTAAACGTAGAACAATGGTTGTTATACTCTCTAAGCATCAGTATCATACTCAATAAGATCCACGTTTTTAATTACTAGATCGGTCTGATTTTCGTCCTGTCCTGGTTTGAGAAGCGGAGGAATACTAGCCATACCGGATTTTTTGGAGGAAGACCGGGTTGCCTTATGTTAGTATATGTGATCATATATTGTCCTTTGCTAGTGAAATGCACTAAAGCACATTGTTTAACAACTACCGCTGTTTGTCAGGTCAGATATATGAAAGTACCATTTAAAATATAAACGATTCAGTTGACAAAACTCCAGATTAACAAATTAGACTATTAATTGAACGTTAATTCTATCGTAAGATTTACCTGTAAGTATATATTTTAGTATATTAAATTGCTCCCTTTGCACTCACCGTGTTTACGGATCGATTAACCGAAACTTGTTGCGGTTAAGCTTCTGTAGATCGTGATAGTAAGAAGATTGTTATGATAATATTGGAACATAGGAAACGTAAGACAAATACGAACATTCAAACTTTTTTATTCAGTATTATCTAGGAACGGGAAATCAATTGCACTTATTTTTTTAAAATAAACGTTTTGATAATACATTAGGGAGATATTACTGATGTAATACGCTAAACCTTCTGAAATTCCTGGTTTTGTTGAGCTCTCTTCCTTATGCTTTGGTTGATCTTTACATGAAACATAAATACGAGCATGATAACCGTTTTGCTTAAATATGCTTACTTTATCTGATATTTGTCTGAATAAAACTTTTCGTTTATCTATAATGTTATAAAAATTGTATAGTAAACTAAGTGTAATTTGTTCTTGTAACCTCGTTTTAACATACCTGTGGACGTTTTATGTCCTTGTAATCGTAGGCCTGTGAACTTGTTCTTTTGTCTTTTATATTGAAATGCAAACTTGTTTTCATGTCGCTGTAATTATATATATTTAAATTTCTTCTTGTGTCCTTGTATTTATAGATTTTTAACTTTTTTTTAGTGTCGCTGTAGTCATATACATGTGACCTTCTTGTGTTCTTGTATTCATTGACCTGTGAACTATTTTTGTTTTGTATGGCTGTATTCATATACATGTGCATTTCTTCTTTTGCCCTTGTCTTCATCGAAATGTGAACTTAGTTTGATTTCTCTGTATTTATAGACCTTTGAATTTGTTAGACGGAGGCCGGAACAGGCTTTCGTACGCTGCAGCGTTTGGCTGTACATCCTCCGCCATCTTAAATCTCCTCACGGAAAAAGTCTTTTCCAACACAAGCATCACTTCCGAGCAGTTGTCAGCTCCTGTATTATGTGAGTATGGCATTTACCCGATACGACAAATTGCGAAAAAAATCAAACCAAATCGGAAGAGGGCACAATATTTGTATTCTAGCTATGTAGAGTCAATAATCTAGCAATCGTTTCACTGTCTCATAACAAAGATATTACGGAGGGTGTCCGCATAATCGTTGCTTTTTGCCCAATAATTTTTTGTGAAGTTGCTATAGACGAAACAATTTTCAAACTTTAAATTTTAAACTTCGTTTCAAAGTTCTTACAACCTAAACACCGTTTACATTGCAAACGCCATATTCGACACCTTAAAAACGTAAACTTTTCCATTGTCATCTCCTTACGAACGTTACATTTCTCTAGTGATCACCTTACAAACGTAACATTTCTATAGTGATCACCTAACAAACGTAACATTTATATAGTCATCACCTCACAAACGTAACATTTCCATAGTGATCACCTTACCAACGTAACATTTCTATAGTCATCACCTTACAAACGTAACATTTCTATAGTCACCACCTAACAAACGTAACAGTTCTATAGCCATCACCTTACAAACGTAACATTTCTAAAGTCATCATTACCTTACAAACGTTACATTTCCATGGTGATCACCTTACAAATGTAGCATTTCTATAGTCATCACCTTACAAACGTTACATTTCCATGGTGATCTCCTTACAAACGTAGCATTTCTATAGTCATCACCTTACAAACGTAACATTTCTATAGTGATCACCTAACAAACGTAACATTTATATAGTCATCACCTCACAAACGTAACATTTCCATAGTGATCACCTTACTAACGTAACATTTCTATAGTCATCACCTTACAAACGTTACATTTCCATGGTGATCACCTTACAAACGTAACATTTCTATAGTCACCACCTTACAAACGTAACATTTCTATAGCCATCACCTAACAAACGTAACATTTCTAAAGTCGTCATTACCTTACAAACGTTACATTTCCATGGTGATCACCTTACAAACGTAGCATTTCTATAGTCATCACCTTACAAACGTTACATTTCCATGGTGATCATCTAACAAACGTAACATTTCCATAGTCATCATCTTACAAACGTAACATTTCCATAGTGATCACCTTACAAACGTTACATTTCCATGGTGATCACCTTACAAACGTTACATTTCCATGGTGATCACCTTACAAACGTTACATTTCCCTGGTGATCACCTTACAAACGTTACATTTCTATAGTCATCACCTTACAAACGTAACATTTCCATAGTCATCACCTTACAAACGTTACATTTCCATGGTGATCACCTTACAAACGTAACATTTCTATATTCATCGCCTTACACACGTAACATTTCCATAGTTATCACCTTACAAACGTTACATTTCTATAGTAATAACCTTACAAACGTAACATTTCCATAGTCATCGCCTTACAAACGTTACATTTCCATAGTCATCGCCTTACAAACGTTACATTTTCACAGTCATCACCTTACAAACGTAACATTTCCATAGTCATCACTTTACACATTAACATTTCTTCAGTCATCACCTTACAAACGTAACATTTCTATAGTCATCATCTTACAAACGTAACATTTCTATAGTCATCACCTTACAAACGTAACATTTTTATAATCATCACCTTACAAACGTAACATTTCCATAGCTTAATATTAAATAAGTAAACGTAGGAAATGAATGATGTTAAAACAATCCAGTCTGGCTAATACATTATGTTGTACTTACAGACTTATGGATCATGGCGAGTGCTGTTGTGATTGGAATCACCTATTACCCTTTGTTTGTTTGCTTGGCGCCCACCTTCAGATTCGTACACTCTACCATCGGACTCAGCTATGCAACCGTATGGTAATATACCAGTTCCCCTATATTGTACATAGTGTCCTCAATGCCTTGGTCTAGGAGAAATATAAAATAAAATTCCATTTTTTTCAATGTTTCATTGAAATATATGTACGTTTAATATCTTTTCTCTATAACATGAGAGTACCCAAAACTGCACGGTGTTCGAAAAGAAACACTTTTCACCTTTATGTTGCAGCTTTTTTTATTTTGCTATACAAATAAATTATAAAGTTTAAGCAACTTGAAGCGAAATAAATCTGCCTACCACCTGTGCGTTGATCACGAACTAAATTGAAAAATTCAAAGAATGAAATGAAAAAATTCCCAAGAAATTGTACGGTGCGACTACAGAAACATCGAATCATATTCCTATTTACTGAAACAACTGTTTGTCCAAATGAATACTTGAATGAATACATTACTTAAATTTACCAGAAAGTGTCACAAACCTCTAGATATGAAGAAAAGTATTTCAAACGCTGTCAAACATTATTTTCATAAACTGACTTCTATGATGAGGTGTTCCATTTTGGGTACCCAGCAAGCTAACATTTCAAAGTATACCTGACTCAACTAAATTATTTCTATAAAAAGACACACGCGCTGGTGACACCGAAGAAATGCATAAAATAAAGGCTAAATATGTCTATTGTTTCATTATAATAACAAAATGGTGTTCGAGAAACTCAATACTAAATGTTAAAATTTTTCTATAAAGAGTTTTCCTTTTTGGGTTACCTTACATTACCTGTTCTTTCTTATCGGTCGGCCATGTCACTCTAGCCAGCAGTGCAAACATAGAAGTAAACAGTGGTTTACATGGGTCTACGATGGGTCGTAAACGTACAACACCCTCCACTCCTCTAATCAATAACATTTAACTTCCTCCTTCCTGATCCACATAACTGATAACACCAGACTCGTTATCTCTGTGTGTTATCCCTTCTTTCTGGTAATAGATATTTATGTAACAAACGTGTACATGTAAAATAAGAATTTATTATCAAAAACAAATTCTTGAATTAGCTTTGTTTTCATTTTGGATTTCAAGCAGTAACAAACTGCCATTAATAATTCTTACCTTATCTACTAGCATAATAGCTTAGTATTGTATAACTACATTGGTATTTGCTGTAGGTTTCTCTCAGTTTTTCTTGTTTCAATGTTATGTATAAAAGTTCAAGATATCTTATCCATTTAACATTGTGTGTTCTGATTTGCAGTCTTGTTTTATCTTTCCTGAATATGAAAAATTATATTGAATGCTGGCCGACCTCTGTTTGGGTAAGTAAAAACCAATAATAGTGATTAGAAAGTGTTAAGAGAAAAAGTATGAATTTGTTGCATAGATATTGTGATGATTTGATATTTGTGTAGCTATAATCGTCTACCTTAGACTAGAGCAATTGTTAAGTAGGGATATAGTGCAGACTGAGACACTGGGAGAGGGGACCGTGCCGATAACAGGTAGAAACTCACTCCAGGGAGTACAGACATGCAAAGGGCTGTCTCCGGTATTGTTATCTGCGGTTGCTAGCTATGTGATCCTCTCGGGTGTTATTCTGACTATGTAGGGAAAGTTATAATGTAACTTTGATGTTGTATTATGTGTTGTTGAATCCTCTAGCCGGTCACGTTACAATATCTTCGTATGATTGAAAAGAACATTTATTGGTGAATTCACTACTCGGTCCAACAGTGTTGTATTCCATTATTATTATCATTAATATGAAAAGGCAAAGCCTTCAAAGAGCGAAGCTTTTGTTGTTCTCTGATATTTACATGATTTAGATTGAGATAATACTGCTTTCAGAATGAGGCAAGAGGAGATGTATTTAAAGTCGGCTAGTCAAAGGATAACAATAAAACATAAACTCTTATGAGATTAAGACCGACATAACAATAGGGGAGATCGGGGCAAATTCGAACTTGACACTGTATCATTGGCCGAAACTGTCCGGACCCAAATTGATATTTCAATAAATTCTTATCGTACAGCATTATGGTAAGGAGCGTTTGGCTTTGCTTATATGTACATGTATATCATTTGAAGCTGTCAGTGTGTTACACGTTTGACCTGGTTTCCCGTATGTAGATTATTTTGTATCATTGATGATTGGTAAAAATGTTTTCACAATATAATTTTTGCATCAATGACGCCATTTTCATAGCTAAAGTAGATATTTGTTCTTGTGCGTAACGTATATGATGGTTCGGATTGCGCAGTGGATAGCGCTCTCGTCTTTACCAAGATGGCCGGATTAATCCAGATTACTTGCCCGACCACGCGAGTTTTCTCCGGATTCTCCGGCTTCCTCCCACATTAAGAATTAAATCATCTGCATGCTTCCGTCATGTCACAAAAAGAATGATTGAAATAAGGTGGGAAACAACTGTTTGATAATTGCTATAAAAAAAGAAAGCATATTACATATTTGACGATAAGTCTATAAAAGTAAATGTAAGTAAAAAAAGGGAAATTAAAAAAGAACAATGTAATAGTTTGATGTAACTAAGATTGTCGTTATATCGATATTTAGAATTCCTGTTCCATCCTGAAACACCGGATTGAATTTCAAATTTTGTAACTGTCATTGTGAGGTTTGACAGGTAATGATGCCAAATAAAATTAAACAGTTTCTGTCTGTAACTAGTTATAAATCGGCATGCGTTGTGAAAAAGTAATGCGTTTCTGAAAAAGGGCGTTGATTGTTGATTTCGACATAAATGAGTTATCCATTGGGTTTTTTATGAGTGGTGATGCATACATAAATTATAAAAAGACTGTAACCAGACTTTCAAAAATGTTAATTATTTCGTTCATATCCTCAACAAATGGAAATCAAAAGCTTAAAATTTTAGACGATGAAAAATAAATGTACACGTTGACCTATTGGTTTACAATTGTAATGCGGCTCCTTTTGAAAATATCTCCCGGTAGAAATATTAACAGAACATGGTTGATGACAAAAAGGATCTGCAGAAAACATCCGCGTTTTTACTTTTTGTGCCTGTGGCAAAAACTGAAATTAAAAAGTCATGAAGCAGCGACAAAGAGATAAATACAATGGCCATCAGTTACAAGATTTTCCGGGTTTTTTTTCATCCTTCCGGAAATTACCGATGAAGCCCGATGGAGTGTGACGTGATTGTGACGTCATAGTATGATAATCTCTGAACGACGTGTCATGCCTGCTAGTAAAAATATGTATGTGACAGATTATTTTCACTCAGAATCTACATTATTTTTTATCTAAATAAACAAGTTATAAAACATGGGTATTGTTTTCACTATATGAAAATGTTCATGTATGGGTTAAAACACAATTGTCTTTGCTTCAAGGATATAATTCTGGTTTTACCACTGGGCGTCTACTTCCGGACGAAAAAAATAAAAGGCAAGGTGTAGCAAGGGGAAGCAACTCTGTTTACGCATGCATGTGTTACCATTAAAGAGCTTCGGGCGCCAAACGAGAGCTACGCTCTTATTATATACATAGATGGGAAATAACGTCAATAATGTAAAGTACAGCCACGAGAATTAAAGAAATGTGTCTTTTAATCTAGCTTGTCTGCTACAAAAATGCAGAGATCTGTAATTATTAGTTGGAAATGTTAATGATAGACTCGGATGTTATCATGTAACATTTTAAAATACAGCTCCTCCGCCACCAGACTGGATTCTGGGTTTAAAAAATACTATTGAAAAGAAGTTGCCTTTATCTCATTGAAGCGAACAAGGATCGAATGAATAAAACAAATTAGTATGTATATGTTTTGTTTTATTAAGATCCTGACGATGACATCAATAATGCTGGCCATACCACAGTCGTTGTGCCTTTTCTATCTCGCTCTCCGGTTCCTCTGTATGTTGGCGACTGACGTAAAGACCACTGTCCGGGCGTGTAGACAGGTGCGTGCAGGGGATCGTTTGTTTATTTGTTTCATCTGTCACAAGTGCTTCATTCTTTATATAAGCTTGGTTTTAGGTTTGGGTTTTGTTTTATTGGGTAAGTTGTCATAATAGCACCATTTTAGAGTGCTACATCACAGAAATACCGTGCCGAAGGCACCTATATCACTTTTCCGATTGGTCACATTTAACCTATTTTTAAAACCATTGGTTTATTAAAGTTGTGCTTTCATTATTCATGAAAATATTTGACTGTAAGATATACAGCCAATATAAGCGTGTTTACTTAACGGACATCCACTGAAATATGATTAGTGCATTTCTCCTATTAATTCTAGCGAAACGATGATTTAATGCATTGGGAACAGGTCCCCACCTGTACAAACAAAGTAAGTAGTACGATTGTTTTGTTTTAATATGCATAAATTATGTACGTATGTATTTAAACCTGCTATCACACAGGACCTTTATTGTAAAATGTAAGTGTAATGTGTATACAATTTATTACGTAATGTGTAAATGTTATGATTATTTAAAACAGTTCACCTCCTAAACTTTTTGTAAGAATATATTCAAACTGCATCACTTATAAAGCAGTTATAGAAAACTTGAGAAAAGAGCATTTATTGTTTTCCATTATATGATATGCACTATTTCAAGAGTGACCGCTTAGCCAACTCAAAACAGATTCAACATGTCAGAGAGCTATTCATGAGAACAGACGAACCAACAACCTCCGGGTAAGTTTATCTATCTCTTAAGTCATCTTGAAAATATCATAATAATGCGGACTACCACCTTCGTCAATTAAAAGTCTCCGAGTCCTGTATGAGAACATATAACTCCCTTATAATGCAATGAAAACTATGCAAAGAACACCACAAGCGCAGGAAAGCGATGGCGAAGGACTTAAGTAACCATTCACTAGCATATTTGTATCGAATGTTCACTTCTCATTCAATTCAACAACGATTTCGGGGGGAAACTGCAGTGCAGAGCGCAAGCAGCATCACCAAAAGCCTTACTGGTCATAGAAATAAAAGCATCTTACCAAACTGTTCGCATGACGAAAGACTTGTCCAACAAGCCGAACATTTACTTCCTGAATAAAATTAACCCAATAGAGCTAATAACTGATGTAATGAACCATTTTGCTTAACATTTATATATCTGTCAAAATACCTGAATTACTGACACGGGTCAGCTTCTTACAATCTACTCGCACAATTTCTTGAAACAGTTCTTTCTTGCTTTCTGTGATTACCCTCATTCGCGAACAAGTCCGTGGCTGAGTTACAGCTTTCATCGTGTTCCAACAAAGCTAATGTTGTCTTCTGCTTAAGAAGCTTGGAGGAACAAGGAAGGATTAAACTACTGTATACCGGGAAAATTTCGCCCAGTCAAATACTCGCCCTGCAATGGTAAAATCTACATTAGCCCAATATAACTTTCGCCCTTAACATGTAATTCCTAGATAGGGTTTGCTGTGTACTAATATTCGCTGTCATGCTAAATTCGCCCTAATTGCTGGGGGTGAAAAAGACGAAAACTGACACGAAAATTTCCCGATATATAGTATTATCATTTCCTATCATTTCAATTGTTTATTATATTGTGTTATTCCATTGATTATAAAGCCATCAATTTTCTCCCCACACAATCAAAACAAATGATTTCAAGTTTCCACCGAAAATGGACCCTATGGGTTAACTATTATAATATCGTACCAGAATGCGGACCGATATATCCGCAACATCACTTTTCTGTTTTGTAATGAAATTTTGGTTGAAATTTTGTTTATAAATGATCTATTAAGTGTGTGAATTTTCTTTCAGTAAATACATATCCAGATTTGTCGACACCATACAACTGAGCTACAAAGGGGACAGAGCCTTCAGGTATTCACAGCGCATGGTCGTCACCTTTACCGTGGCACTCATCTGTCTGTATCAGGTATGTATACGCTCACGTCGAGTGCTAGCAAACGTTCACCTCTACTAGAGCACTTTCTACTGACCTACTCGGAGTTAATTAAGTTATGGTTTTTTAATTGAGTGAAAAATGAAACATTTAATAATAAATAAATTCCATGTCATCATTATTGCTTAAAGCAGAAACAATATAGCTTTCTTTCAATGAGATCACGAAAGAAACAAAAATTGGCTGCATTAATTGTGTTTTTAAACTTCTGACAGTGCATGGTTTTCAAAACCTAATACATTTTTTTTTTTACAAAAGCTCTTGTGGTCTTTCTGAAGTGGACCAATGTGATATACCATATATATTGAAGAAACTATATTAACGTTCACTGTGTCTTTCAATCGCCTTCCTATTTAGATATGTCAAACTACACATTTTCAACAATTGCTTTCCTTAAATGCCCAGTTTTTTCTTTCTATTGGCGGATTTTCTCTCTTTCAATTTGTGTGTCATTTCTACTAGAGTTGCATTCCTTTGTGATGATGAACAAATATAGAAGAGTTGCCTTCCCTTATGTCAGTGTGGCGGTTTCTCGCGTGTTTGTGTCTATGATACCCAATCCTTCAAGGTCCCTTTCAGATATATTGATATTTGTCCTTGAAATCGGGTTTTATCTCTTGACACTTACATCATATCTCCCGTTACCGTAGTTGATGCGGTATTTCTATAAACAAATAAATATTAAAGCCATGACTTTACTCTTTTAGAGGCAGCAATACTTTTTAAATATACAATTAACACATATAAATGACGCTTTGATGATTATCTTCCAATGATGAAACTTCAATGTCTACCGTGATTAAATTCTTTTTGTGTTTGATCACGTTGGCGAAGGACAGACATTCTTAGACATTACAAAATATACGATTATTGGCCTCCTTTTTGTGTTTTTCATAAAGTTCTTCCTCTTTTTGTTGCGTGGTCTCTCTAGACGTTAGAAAGAATGGTGTCATCTCGTTGTTTTAACTATGTTTATTGCAATTTTTAATAATGATATTTAGCCTTTTGTTTGGGTTTCTGACACGCGACCAGTAGCGAATCAGCCCCTGACCCATCCTGGTTGAGGGTTTGTTTGCATAGGTGATTTTTGAAACCGAGCCTATAGAACTATTGACACCATAGCTTTATATTAAGTTAAGGGTAGTTGTATGGTGAAAATATTCTTCATAGCTAATTTTCTATTTTTTACATTAAAACCTTTCTGGTTTCCTAAAGTGATTTTTTATTCACCATTTACAAAGCTTTTACCTTAAATATATGCATTTGTGTAACATATTTGTTACTAGCTTATTCTTTTTATCATGCATTTATTTATACTATCATTTTCTTTGGATTTATTCCTTTTACTGTGAAATCAATTGGATTATTGGATTTTTGTTTTCATTTCTGATATTCAATTAATTCATAATGACGTCAGGATCGTTTATCATTTATGTGTGTATGCCAGCCTTTATACAACAATTATTGATTTATTTCAGATATCGATACTTGTGTTAGGATTCGGAACATTTTTAATTCAGTTAGGAGAAAAACAGATGACGAAGAACACAACCTACTCTATTTTTAGTCCATACTTAGATACATTGAAAACCGTTCTAAAAGGTAAGAAACATACGCCAAAGTAATAACATAAGTTAAATTGTGTCACACATTGTCCTGTACGATATTATGTCACAGTGTTAATACCGTTAATGGATTAGGTAGATCTTAAATATCACAATGTCTTGATTTGTATATAATTCAAACTTAAACAGTTATGTTTGATGTGTTATTTGTTACCATCGCAACGTTTTTTTCAGTGAGGTATAGATATTTCCATTAAAAGTTAGACTCATCATTTCAAAATACTAGGTCTTAAAAAACTAATATTAGTACATAACAGACAACTTGTGTCAATGCGTTTTTCATAATCATTATTATGCTCCTAATCATCTTTCTACATGGATTATTATAATCACTGTTATCCTCTCCATAGCGTCTTTCTACGTTTCCTTCACAATTACAACTCTGATGTCAGGTGTCATCATTTTTCAAATTATGATCTCATATCGGAAGAACTTGGAGGCACTGTATAAAGGGGATTTTTCTTGTGTTCCTATCGAGGCTCGTCAACAATCGGCTGTAACAGTAATGGTAAGGGCAGATAATTTGAAAAATCAAATGAAGTTGATATGGTGTCTGTACCATAGCTAGGAAACATGTATTGTGTTGGAATTATGAGAGAGAGATTCACAATGTACTTAATTGTTTTTTTATCTTCAAAATGGATTTGTTTCTGCCTTTCAGACAAATAGCTTGCATTATTCTGGTACCCAGATAGCCTACCTCTTTTGGAGTGAGTATTTTATTTATTGTTGCATAACATAATGATACTGTAAATATTTGAATTAAGCGTATTTTTTTTATCTGTTTATGACAATTCAATTTTGCGAAAGGACCACCGTTTCTTAACAAATACCTTCATAAATATGAATGCCTAATATACCTCGTTTCTCGCAAATGCGATTAAATTGCCATCCTATTTACCCTAAACAATTGAAGTTTTAATATAATTATACAGCAAACTGTTGCTCAGCAACTTCAAATCTTGACATTATACAAATAACGGTCACCTAAATCATAAATTAACAAATGAGGTTAATAATGTTTAACTCACTAACAAACTATTTAACATATATATCTTGTAACAATAATTGTCGCTTCTCTACCAATTCTGGTACATAACATAATGTCATTTCTCTTCCAAACGCTGAAATTTTACCCGTAGTACATACAATAACGTAATGCAAATAATTTTATTTACGATGCCAAACCAGGACTTTTACCTACAACGTAACAATATATAAATAAAGCTCTTATCACTGCCATATCTATGAACATTTTCCTACAGTATTAAAATTTCGGTCACCTCACTTCAAAACTGCTGTATTTAACAACAGTGATAACATTGCTTCCAAGTTCTATAATATTTACCTACATCCTATCATATAACAAGAACGGTCACCTCACTACTAAACTGCTGCATATAACAACAGTGTGAACATTGCTTCCAAGTTCTATCATATTTACCTACATACTATCATATAACAAGAACGGTCACCTCACTACCAAACTGCCGCAATTAATAGCAGTGCTACCTTGGCTTCTAAATTCTGTGACATTTACCCACAGATTGCATATAACGGTTACTTTTCCTACAAACGATGACGTTTACCGTTTGCACCTTATTACCAAACCTTAATTACATGAAAATTAACCAACAACTTATAAATAATGGTTATTTCACGACCAAACTATGCAACATGTATTGACATTTTTATATAACGATCACCTCATTACAACACTGTATGGCAATTATGATCATTTCATTACCATACTCGGTATAAACGCTAGTCTTCCTATATTAAGGAATACACATACCACCTATTGATTCATTAATGGATTTATTACTCTGACCGTCTGTAAAACGTATAGACATTTTTGCGGGTGAATGCATCCTGTTGACCAATAAATGGGGTATCTAGGGTTAACTACTAGATATGAAATCAATACTGAACTAGATACATGTAACAGTCGTCATTTGAACTATCATGTCTATGTCTAACGTTATCAGGAGACATTTGATAGCTGGAAACCTTACCTGAATTGGACAAGATACATCATAAGGTGTACCCTACTTTGAGGTTTCTTTCTTTGTAGTTGACGCTATGGTATACTTTTATAGCTTCTTACCATATTAAATGTTCAGCTGTTTAAACACACGCTCCAAAATAACCAACTCTCTTTACAGGCTACGTGATACAGATGAATGTGCTGTTGATTGTCTGCATATGTGTTGCATATTTAATAGTACTACCGATTCTGGGTGATGTAAGCATGATCTTCCTTCAACCCTTTCTGACAGTCATGTAAGTAATCTTTGTCATATCGCGTGAATAATTCAGAAAGAAATTTCAGGACCGGAATAAACAGGTTGTTTTAACATGGATTACTATGCAAACTTTTGTGAAATAACGACGGTTTTCGGAATGGACAGGGTCCGGTTTATACAGGTTTTAACTACAATGATTCTATGGGGACATCAGCGTCCCATGTGAAGCCTTATGAAAAATTAGAATGGGAAGCATTAGCTGAAATAAGAATTTTGAATAAGAAATAAGAATAGAATTCTGCATAATGACTCCCCATCTTATTTTTAAATATTATAGATCCATCTATTAATGATATCTAAAGTACAAGATATGAGTTAAGGGGAAATACAATTTTTTATCCGCCGCTCTGTCGAACAGATAGTTATTTTAACAGTTACTTTCCTGCCACTTTCAACAAGTATAATCAGTTGGACTCTACTATCACTAACTCCCTGTCCCTATCTAAGTTAAAAAAAAACACCTATTTTTTTTTTAACAAACCTCATTTTAAATATTCAGGATGCAGAAGAATTAATATTATTCTATGCCAACTACGAAATAAGGCTAGTAACTTGAACTTTGACCTTTATCATGATCATTTGTCTGGTTCACCTGCTTGTGATTGTCTTTATCACTGATACAAAGAGATTCTTTAACCACCATTAGTTGTTACTCTACTGTGCAAAAAGAAACCCATTGCTAACAAGTATTTCTATAAAAATAATTCCTACTTTATAAATTGATAGTAACTTGTGGATCTCTTGCTGTTTAACACTGGGGGATCCTTGGTCTCAATAAATGAGGCTTATTTATTTATAACTAAAACTTCTGTGGGAGTTACTCCCCTTGCATCACTATTTCTGTAACTACTTCTTTCTCTTTAGTTTATGTGTTTGTAATTCTGGCTAGGAGACGGACTAATGTAGGCATAGCCTGTTGTCCAATCCTTTTGTTTTTTAATGAAAACTTACTGAAATGAAATTATATAGGGAATATGCCGGGATCACAAATCACAGCCGCTTTTGACGGGCTCCGAATTAGACATGGGTCGGTTTAGACAGGTTATACTGTACCATAACTAAACTGGTAATAATAGGATAAGTACCGTGACTTTGTATCACCTTAGCTCCTATTGTTGTCTTTGAGGTCTGATGTAATCTCATTGGTGACATTTTTACTGATATACTGTATTGTTAACTTTTATCTTCGTCTGGATTGATTTGATACCTACCTTTCCTGATTATAAATAATGTGTTAATAACGTTTTCCTGAGGTCAATATCAGGTATGAGGTTGTTTTTATTAAGCATCGTGTATTGTTTTGCTTTTGGGGGGAAGGTGTTATTGGTTACCCTGTGAGGGGGAAGGTGATAATGGTTTCCCTTTGAGGGGAGGGGATATTGGTTTCCATTTTGGGGGGAAGGTGATATTGGTTTCTCTTTGAGGGGGATGTCGATATTGGTGTCCCTTTGAGTAGAGGAGGTTAATATCGGTTTCCCATTGAGGGGGAAGGTGATATTGATTTCCCTTTAAGGGGGAAGCTGATATTGGTTTCCCTTTGAGGGGATGTTAATATTGGTTTCCCTATGAGGGTGAAGGTGATATTGGTTTCCCTTTGAGGGGATGTCAATATTAGTTTCCCTTTGAAGGGGAAGTTGATATTGGTTTCCCTTTGAGGGGATGTTAATATTGGTTTCCCTATGAGGGGGAAGGTGATATCGGTTTCCCTTTGAGGGGATGTTAATATTGGTTTCCCTATGAGGGGGAAGGTGATATCGGTTTCCCTTTGAGGGGATGTTAATATTGGTTTCCCTATGAGGGGAAGGTGATATCGGTTTCCCTTTGAGGGGGTGTTAATATTGGTTTCCATATGAGAGGGAAGGTGATATCGGTTTCCCTTTGAGGGGATGGGATATTGATTTCCCTTTGAGGGGGAAGGTGATATTGGTTTCCCTTTGAGGGGATGGGATATTGATTTTCGTTTGAGGGGGAAGGTGATATTGGTTTCCCTTTGAGGGGAGGGTCATATAGGTCTCCTTTTAGAAAAAGGTTGATAATTATCTTAACACCTTTTTTCAGAGATTATTTTGGCATCATTTATAGATTTTAATATTTTTGTAGTTTGATCTTCTCCTATTGACATCCTTTTGTGTGATTAATAATGTATTATGTACATATTTTTGTGAGGTTGATTTTATTCATTACATATTTTGCCATGTTCCAGAACGACATCTGCCATTGGCTTTGTGACATACTGGCTACAAAAATTCGTGTCCTGGAAGTGGCTTTTACAGGACCACAAAGTGACCAATAAGGACTCGAAGTGGCCGGACCCTGTGTTGGCTCTAAACAACAGGTGCGCCCTAGAAACGGCATCTGGCATATTCATATAAAGACTCGTTGTTGACTTTTTCTTTTTATAATATTTATCTAAATTACTTCATAAATTAGATCATCAATTCACCTAGATTTCAATAAACTGTAGTTTAATTGTTTGTTATAATTTATCAACATAACAATATCAACAAAAGAAGCTGGGCTTAACAGGATAGGGAAAGGTAATGTTTGCAGTATTTTAATGTGGGAATGCAATACCTCATAATAATTAACATATAGAAATGAAGCTTCAGATAAGAAATACAATGTGTTTGTAAAAAATGTTTCAACCTATAGTCATTTAATGAAAACAAAACAATTAGCCCTCTTTTAACTGACAGAAAATATTAATTACTAATTGATATTTGAATGAGACTAATCATAGATAACTGGTACATATGACACGTAGCGTATATGTCGTTATACTAAGGGGTTATGGATTCACGCTTTTTCTATTATAGAAAAGCCTATCACAACATGGCGTATTTCGTGTTCTTCTACTACATATTCATCAGTATGGTCCGCTGTCTTATGAAGGTTTTTAAAGCCGTTTTTCTGGGTGTAGTCTTTTTTGGAAGAATAGACAGAAGCGGACTCATAAATGGTTTTGAGACTTGGGATACAGGTAAGGGAGATAAACCGTTCCGCTAAATGCCTAGAGAAATCAACTATAATATGATTTTTCAATCTTTGTTAGACATTAACCTGTCATACAGGAGGGAGTACAGGTTTGCATTCCTTCTATCAGCCTGTCAGTCAGCTGGTCATTGCTGCCTAGGCATCTCATCCATTTACAATGTCACTGATTATCTTGTACTGAAAACGAGTCTCTTGCCGAAATACAGACAAAGGTATGTCTCTTTGTATACCATGCGTCCACATTATACTGGGTTATATCGATGTTTGTGTGGAGGTTGTACACCGTCGGGTGCTCGCTGTAACTTTTCTAGTTCTATATCGGTCTAAAATAATAATAATCACTACAAAAGAATTATTAAGCTTTTTTTGCTCGTGTTTTGTAGGTTACATGGCGTACGTAAGTTTCCTTCAAATGGAGCTGGTCCACTGTCATCCTGTATTGGTAGTGTTTTGTGACCTACTCTGTCACAGGTTGCCGGGCAACATCCATGTACCAATGCACCGCGCAACGTCATCACTTGACGTTACAACAAGGTCCGGGGACACATCGATATCGACGACATTGCCTGTGAGAAGTTACAGAACGGCAGATAAAGTTACCGCCATCAGTCCGGTACCTAAGTACAATCAGAGGATACTTAACCGTTGGCTTAAAGTCTATACTCTGATGAAGAATCCCTCTTTGGCTGTCAAATAGTGATAAAACTAATTGTTGATTTACACTTGACATACTTGTTTACCTGTGGTTTTTAACTTTATCATAGAATCACACCATATGTTATTTTTCATGATGCGATTCCTTTAATCTTTTTATGAAAATATTTGTACATGCTGCCTTAAAAAGATTTCAATGTTTCAAGTTGACACTATTTTGGAATTGCTTTCTTGTGTAACGTGGCTGCAAATGTACCGATATCGAACCATAAAACACAATCACAGCAGTGGAGTTGGCCTGTTTTTCTCTCACATTTTGGCACTTGGGTGCATTTGGCCTGCTGTAGTTATTTTTTTCTTTAAACCACGTTTACATATTGCTCATACATTGATGTTATTATTACAAACTACATTACCATATCAGTCTTGAATTGTAAATGACGCTATCCCTACAAACTATATGCACATATTGCTCATACATGAAGCTGTCATAATAAACAGCATTTACATATTGCTCATTCATGGCGCTATCGTTACAAACTTCATTTACGTATTGCTCATACATGACGCTATTATAATAAACAACATTTACATATTACATACATGACGTTATCATTACAAACTATATTTACATATTGCGCATACACAACACTATCGTTCCAAACTACCTTTACATATTGCTCAAACATGACGTTATCATTACAAACTATATTTACATATTGCTCATACATAACACTATCGTTCCAAAGTACATTTACATATTGCTCATACATGGCGTTATCATTACAAACTACACTAACATATTGCTCATACATGACGCAATCATAATAAACAACATTTACATATTACTCATACATGACGCTATCACTAAAAACTATATTTGCATATTGCTCATACATGACGCAATCATAATAAACAACATTTACATATTGCTCATACATGACGATATCGTTAAAACCTACATTAACATATTGCTCATACATGACGATATCATAATAAACAACATTTACATATTGCTCATACATAACACTATCGCTCCAAACTACCTTTACATATTGCTCATACATAACACTATCGTTCCAAAGTACATTTACATATTGCTCATACATAACACTATCGCTCCAAACTACCTTTACATATTGCTCATAATGGCGTTATCATTACAAACTACATGTACATAAAGCTCATACATGACGTTATCATTACAAACTACATGTACATAAAGCTCATACATGACGCTATCATTACAAACTACATTTACATATTGCTCATACATGGCGCTATCGTTACAAACTACATTTACATACTGCTCATACATGGCGCTATCGTTGCAAACTGCATTTACATATCGCTCATACGTGACGCTATAGTTACAAACTACATTTCATTATATCTATATATAGTTTTGTATGCATGCTTCACATTATATCTACCATGTACTTATAATCTATCAAAAGTAATATCATTATCTTTCACAATTGTATGAAGTCATTGATACAAAAATAATACACAATGTATTCTATGTCCCTTCAATATTTTGCTGGATCTTTCTTTCGTGAGACTAATTTGTGTTTTGACATTTTACTGCGAATTGTTTTGTCTGAATTGCGTGTACACGTTCATTTGAAAAAAGTAATTAGTTCTGTGATATTTTTTCTATTGTTTAAGTATTTTATCATATTTCGTTCTTTCCATATAACTCATTTAGCTTTGAAATCAATGAAGTTACACGTAATGTTGGTTTTATAAGTTTCTGACGAAAACCCCAGCAAAATGTCTATTTCATTTGTATTAAAAGCTTTGTCGTTACGGTAAGGCAAGTTTTGTCTCATGAAAGAGAAAACTTACACCATAAATTCCTGTATAATTGGACATGACCAGAATAAGTGATTTAGAATCTTAAATCGTCATTGAATAAGTGACATTTGCCTTCTGATTTTCTCATTGTTAGTAGTCTACTTTCCGTATAAATAATGTTGTGTATGCCTTTCCAGTTAAGCTCTTTTATTTTGTTTGTAATTGGTGTATCATGCAGGTTTTTTCGATATGGTAAATCTTTCCCGAAGTAGATTTCCCACTTTGACTGATCTTAAAGGACTATCTTAGAGAGATTATCTTTTCCTTGATATGTCTTAGTTTAAGTTTGCCACATGTAATCACTTTGTCAGTTTCGTCTCGTATTTCTAAATGTTGCATATGGTGAAGTTTTCCAAACAAATTTTTTCATTTCTGTTTATGCTTCTACTGTAAATTGTTTTATCAGTGTTTTCCATGCTTTAAGGGCGATATCATAAAATGTTGATATATATCCAATATTTAATCCATCAATATTAGTATATTTACATAGAAAATATTCATCTTGGTATATCTGGTCGTATTTACACAACCAATGCTTCCCTATGACATTCCAGCTTTCTTCCTTTGAATGAATTATTCTATTTTTTGTCTTTATATACTTTGCCATAACAAATGTCTCTATGTCAATCAGGCCCATACTTCGATGTTTTTAAGACAGCAGGCTTTTCTTTCTATTTGATTGGTTTTGTTATTCCAGATGAAATTCCAAACAATTAGGGTTATTTCCTTTAAATAAGTAGAAGGTATTCCTCTTATCTCTATTTCAAACCCGATCATTGATAGGATAAGTGATTTAATTATGAGCATTTTCCCACCAAATATCAAATCTCTAGTTTTCAAGACTTGCAAGCAATTTTTCATTTTCTTAAAAAGTTATCTCCATATATCATCTTTATCTATATTGTAGCCATGATGTTCTCCTAAGGTTTTTACTACTCCCCTTTTCAAGAGATTTGTCTAAAGTCTGGTTCTTTATTTTCCAACCTTCCTATATATAATCCCTTTGTCTTTTCATAATTCATTTTTGAACCCGACGCTTTTTCATATTTCGAGTGTACTTTGAAAGCTTCATGAAGTCATTTTTCAGACCTAACAAATAATTGACTGTCATCTGCAAACATGTTTGATTTAGGTTTTTTTATATCCCTCCCTGGAATAGATAGCCCTTTTTCAATTTGTGTATTCATCCTAATTGCGCATGCCAAAGGCTCTTCCTGTATTATGTAAATGAATGGCGTTGCTGGACATCACTGCCTTGCACATTTGCTTATATTGAAAAATTGAGACATATACCCATTAGTAATTAAAAACGTTTTTGCATTGAAAATTAATATCTTAATCCATTTCTAAACTTGTTACCAAATTGAAAGCGAGCTAAGCATGCATCTACCCTGCTCCATTCGACCCTATCATAAGCCTTATGTTGGTCTAAAAATATTATTGCTCCTTCGTTATTTTCTAATTCTGTATAATTAATTAAATCTTGTATTTGTGTGTTCGCATTCTGTATATTTCTACCAGGAACGAATCCTTCGTGAGGGTTACTTTAGTAATAACATGCTGTTTAATAAGTAAAGAAACATATTACAGATATTTCACAAACATATGAAAACTGACATTGTGATGGAGGAAAAAACATATACATTCTTCACTTTTACGCATTATTGAGTTCCGAAGATAGACCGCCTCAAATCCGTTTTAGTAGCAATTTTCTTTCGAAACGTTCAGGACATTTGTAACAACATTTTGTTGGATTTCATTCATAACATATTATGATAGATATAATTGTACGAAAACATTTATGAATACAATTGGGAAAAATCCAAATATAAACTTAACCCGTCATTTTGTATTGATGCGATTTGATAGTTATTTTCCTGTCGCATAGCACCATTCTAGGCAAATGAACATTCACATAATAACAGACTAACATAACGGATGTTTTCTTAATCTTCAGTTTCTGATTTTATAAGTTAATTCTATTCATATTGAATAAGTCCCGATATAATAACTAGTCTATATACACCCATGGTTGGTTATGCACTTTGACATTTTTCACTTCGGAATGATAATTACGATACAAAGTGTCGGTAAATTTATAACGTAAAGTCAATGTGATATGTTAAACACGACACATACTGCCTTTATTTCTCTTTAGTTCACATTGCTGTCATTTTTTGTAGAAAATGGGCTGTGTGGTACTTTCACCTTAGCTGTAGTAGTCATCTACCTAGGTGATGTTATAACTTATACTATTGAGATTACTTCCGACGGAGTATACATAAACGTGATTATTCCTACTAGTCGTCTACCAAAGTTGATAAAGTTGTATGTGTACCTGGAATAACTTTAACGAGATATTGTACCTGTAAGATATCACTGAAATATTTATTTATATAGCAATGTTTAAACGATATGGGACGTTCACTGTATTGAGTGCAAAACGTAATGTAATTAAGGACAAAATCAGGAAGATATCCGATACATACTCTAAAGCCACTCAGCAGTCATTCCGATGCATACACGTTTTGTTTTTGTTTATCTACATAATGATATCTCTGCAGCATACCAGCGTATATGTTTTGTTCACTAAATAATATCCCCGTTCAATTGATACCACCAAACAATGTGGGCTTTAGATATCACGATGTTGGTATTACGCGACGAAACACGTTCATAAATAAAATTCGATGACGTTTCAAAATTCTGCAAATATTATCTGTATATAATAATTATATTTAGTAAAATACAATATGCAATGTCATAGGAATCTTATATTGTAATGGAGATTAATTTACAAATACACAAAGTCTATTATTATTTCCAAAGTCACTAAATATTGTATTTATCTGTAATATCCTTCTTAATACACGTAGTAACAGATTCACTTCAACAACACCTGAATGTGTAGGATGAGTGTATTTTTATCTGTGTTTATTACTGTTAGGCTTGCTCAAGATAGTTCACCACTATTTACTGTCTGTTTTAATGTATTTCCGGATTATATGTTCTATATCTTCTATTACAGCATTGCATGTCAAAACACAGCATGCTTCAAACATTTCTTCTACCTGAGCGACACTATACTTCAGTAATAAATACACTACATATGTACAACATTTGCGTATTTTATAACATTATAATACGAATGATGATGATAATATCTGTAACAATCGGCCTTAAAGCTACTAGTTTGGTTGGGAACGTATCTTTGAAATCAATCACAGAATCTTTTCATTTGGCAGATATTGAAAAACTTTAGGTACCTGTTTATTCTTATTGTACGTTTTCTGCCAAAGGTCACATCAAGGAAAAGGGTAATTAAACTTGCTAACGAAAGTTCATTCTAACAAACCATGCAGTGTGGTATGGTAAGGTATAATGAAGTAATGTATTGTCTGATGTAGGGCTCTTATGTATTGCGTTGTATTATAGTGGTGTTGTATTTGGACGTGCCCTGTATTATATGAAATGTTATGTACCGTTACTAAATGTGACTAGATTGAACTACATAAATGTTGTCTATTTTTCAATAGTGACCACATCAGAATATCGTATTGATTCATTGTATTTTATAATGGTCCTTTGAGTACATTACTTAAATTGCAGATTGACTACAGTTTACTACAATTGAATTTATTAATGCCGTTTAGTGTTTTGTAGTGGTCACATTAGGATCTTTTTGTGCTGTAGTGTTGTGAAGCGTTGTGTGATATACGTAGTGTCATGTATCTTGTTTGAGATGATCTAGTTGCTTATTAAACTATACTTATATATAGTATCTTGATATTGTTAATATATGTAAAATGTTGTTAAAGTCGTATAAATCATCGTAGTACTGCTGGTGAATCGATCGTATTTTTATTTTTATTAAAACAACGCTACGAAGACGACATTACGATCATCGCCGTCGTTTATAACCGAAACATCGCTTTACGGAAGATAGTGTTAGATGTTTTGTGTTACCCTACCCGATTCAAATCTATGGTATGTAACCTTGAAAGACAGAATTAACTTGACGTTGTCGTAAACTATCTACCAAACAAAGTTCAATGTGTGTGTTCAACATGCGTATGTTGTACGTACTCTATAAGGCACGTGCCAATGCACTAGCAGCACCATCCACTTAACAAGCTCTTCGTTTCATAAAGATCGCTCAAAACGAGTTTCTTTATCATCAGTTCGTCTATTTTGATTCAAATAACCACAAATGTTGAAATGAGTTTTATTTATATGCCGTGCACGCGCGTCATTGCGGGAAACATGCCTTCAGGGCACGCGCATTCCTGTCATTATCTCTTTACAATACTTTCCTTAGATGATAACTGAAGGGCTGGTATCATGCCTACATTTATGTTGGAATATCTTGATTTCACTATATATATATATCAAGGCAGCATTTAGTATGTATGTGTTTATAAGAAATATAAGAAAACAGATAGCTCTTAGTTGAAAGGGACGAGAAAATACATTCATATGTATTTCACGTAGCCTTCATACATTAGTTTGGCAACCG